ATTACGTGTTGCGGCCCACCTCCTAGTCATGTATAGTTAAGATTGATGCCTATACTGTATTTATATATACGTGCACCAGCACCCTATCAATACAACACGTATTACAAAACTATCCGTCTATAGTCCCTTTTGTTGCTGATGTCGTGCCTGCGTGCTCCTTCCTATGTATTTCTGCCTGAACTCGGGATTTATGTTTGCCACATTGTGAACTATGTGACTTACTCGCCTTGTTATGGGCATTATATTAATTTAAAGCGGGATGCTTCTTGCGTCTTCATTCTAAAGAAACCTAAGTCGTGGCATGAGGAAACTACATGAGCACCTTCCGTGTCAACTTGATTAGTTAAGCGTGAAAGTGACTTGGTAGGTCATAACCATGCTCAGAGAAGCTTCCCATCACTACTTATTTTACTTGCCCGCCACTCTACTCGAATCCTGCAGCTTCCCTATATACTGTACTTATTGCCAACACTTGCATCTTACACTCACTCACTTCATTGAAACATCCAAAGCCGAGAAAACAGAGACATGGACGGCGCGACCTCGTCGTCCGGCGATGAGCGCGGCGGCGTGCACGTCCTGCTGGTGCCGCTGCCGGCGCAGGGCCACATGAACCCGATGCTCCAGCTCGGCCGGCGCCTCGCGTACCACGGCCTGCGGCCCACGCTCGTCGCCACGCGGTACGTGCTCTCCACGGGCCCGCCCCCCGGCGACCCCTTCCGCGTGGCCGCCTTCTCAGACGGGTTCGACGACGGCGGCATGGCCTCCTGCCCGGACCCCGTCGAGTACTGCCGCAGGGCCGAGGCCGTGGGGTCCGAGACGCTGGCGCAGGTCATCGCCGCCGAGGCGCGCGCCGGGAGGACGCCGTCCGTGATGGTCTACGATCCGCACATGGCGTGGGCGCCGCTTGTGGCGCGGGCCGCGGGCGTGCCGACCGCCGCGTTCATGTCGCAGTCGTGCGCCGTGGACCTGATCTACGGGGAGGCGTGGTCGGGGCGCGCGCCGCTGCCGATGGCGGATGGGAGCGCGCTGCGTCGCCGGGGCGCGGTGAGCGTGGACCTCGGGCCCGAGGACCTGCCGCCGTTCGTGGTGTCGCCGGGGCTATACCCCAAGTACCTGGACGTGTCGATCCGGCAGTTCGAGGGCCTAGAGCACGCCGGCGACGTGCTCGTCAACTCCTTCCGTGACCTCGAACCGCAGGAGGCGGAGTACATGGAGTCCAGATGGCGCGCCAAGACGGTCGGCCCGACGCTGCCGTCCTTCTTCCTCGACGACGGCCGCCTGCCGTCGAACAAGGCCTACGGCGTCAACTTCTTCAGCAGCGCCGCGCCGTGCATGTCATGGCTGGATCGGCAGCCTCCTTGCTCAGTAGTCCTCGCATCTTATGGGACGGTCTACAACCTCGACGCCGGTGAGCTTGACGAGCTTGGAAATGGGCTCTGCGATTCCGGCAAGCCATTTCTCTGGGTCGTGAGGTCCAACGAGGCACGGAAGATATCTCAAGAGCTCCTTGGCAGGTGCGAGGAAAATGGATTAATTGTGCCTTGGTGCCCCCAGCTTGAGGTTCTCGCGCATAAGGCCATAGGTTTGAAATTGTCAATCTTTGATAAATAGGTCTAAACAAATACTACTAGTTATCTGATTGTTTTGCCAATAATATTGCCTACTTTGGATATGCAGGTTGCTTCTTGACTCATTGTGGATGGAACTCAACGACAGAAGCACTTGTTGCCGGCGTGCCAATGGTGGCGATGCCGAGGTCGGCCGACCAGCCAACCACGGCAAAGTACGTGGAGAGTGCATGGGGGATCGGCGTGCGGATGCGGACAGATGAGAAAGGCTTGGTGAGGAGGGAGGAGGTAGAGAGGTGCATCAGGAAGGTGATGGATGGAGAGGGAAAGGTTGAATACCGTAAAAATGCGACAAAATGGATGAGGATGGCCAAAGAGTCAATGCAAGAAGGAGGAAGCTCTGACAAAAATATTGCCGAATTTGCGGCTAAGTATTTATCAAGATGAATTTAGGTCCAATTATCCACAACCACTCAATAGTCATCGCATACTATGTATGGACATGTTGATATAGTATTATTCCTCTTCACTTTACAGAGCAATGTCAACGCATTCACCGAGAAGCCTATAGCTAAGCTCAAGTTTTCTTGTCTGAGTGACCTTAATACAAATTTGTTTTCTATTGAGTTACCAATGGGTTGACTATACCTCGGCATATCGTCGACGTAAGGTTGTGGAGAATTAGATATGCTTGGTTTTATGCACATAGGTGTAAGCGCTAGATAAAGATGATCACTTGCTACCACCAAAACTTGATGCGGGAGTATTCAAAGTTTGAGTAAATTTCCTGTTTTTACACCATATTTGTGCTCCAGTGATAACTACTATCCTATTTTAGTAAAATTGCAGCTAGTTACCCGATTTAAGAAGTTTATTTCACGTTTTGCCTCATTTGATGTCAGATCCTCCTAAGACCATTGTCACACTCATTCAGACCAGAAAAGGGTGCAATTATATTCTCCAACTCTTCTAGACTATATTCTAATTAAATTACGCTATTAAAGTTTAGAGATCTCTTTAAGTTTATGATCTTAAATTAAATTTTGAAATTCAATTAACTTGAGTTTCATGTACTATAAAATGTTTAACATATTCAATATAAGATCTACAATTTGATCGGTTCTCCTAAGTTAATTTAACAACAAATCCTTCAGCCCCAAACAAGTTGGACTGGGCTAGAGTTAAAACCCATAAGATCTAGAAACCAACTCATGATCCTGGCACGTGAATAGCTAACTTACACGCACCCTTCCATGTCAAGTTTGGTCTACCATGACCTCTTTTGACATTATCAGCATGCTTTAACTGTCTGCAATGCACTAGAGCTTTTCAAGGCATGCGATGTATATACCCAAACCATACCAAACGATGTTGGATAAGCTTCTGTTCAATCGAAGCTAGCCCAACTCTGTCATGTATATCATCATTCCGAAACCGATCCTTTCTTGTGTGGCCACATATCCATCTTAGTATGTGCATCTCACTACACCCAACTATTGAACATGTCATATTTTAGTCAGCCAACACTCAGCCATGCAACATTGCGGGTCGAATCACTGTCCTATAGAACCTACCTCCCTTTTAGCTTTTACGGTACTCTCTTATCAAAGAGAAATTCAGAAGCTCGGCGCCACGTCATCCATCCAGCTTTGATTCAATGGCTCACAACTTCATCGATATCACCATCCTTCTGTAACATTGATCCAAAATATCGAAAGGTGTTCTTCTGAGGTACAACCTGCACATAAAGGCTAACCACCTCCTCATGCCAAGTAGTACTGAAACTGCATTTCATGTACTCCATTTTAGTTCTACTAGGCCTAAAAGCTTTCAATTTCAAAGTTTGTCTCCGTCGCTCTAACTTTCTGTTAACCCCCGCCCAACTGTCATCTACTAGCACCACATTGTCCGCAAAGAGCATACACCATGGGATATCTCCTTGTATACCCCTTGTGACCTCATCCATCACCAAAGCAAAAAGATAAGGGCTCAAAGCGCTGACTCTTGGTGAAGTTGTATTTTAATTGAAAAGTCATCAATGTTGACATCACTTGTTCGAATACTTGTCACAACATTATTGTACATTTCCTTGATGAGGGTAATGTACTTTGTTGGGACTTTGTGTTTCTCTAAGACCCACTGTAGTGGTTCTAAGTCTGACAGTAGATTAGGGGGTACGTAAGAGGAGGCAAGATCCTAGCTAAGATGAAGTTGTGCACGCAAGATTTACGAGTCCAGGCCCTTCGCGAAGGAAGTAACAGTCCTACGTCTCGGTGCCCTGAGGCGGTCAACTGGATTACGCGTGAAGTTACAGGGGGTGCGAACCCTTGTCTCAGTGGTGGGGGTGGCTTATATAGAGTGCGCCAAGACCCTAGCCAGTCCATGTTACAAGGAGTTCAATGTATATAAAGGTGAGGCGTTACTGGTAATGCCAACAATAAAGTCATATAAATGATCATTAACACTACGGAGTGAACGCCTGACCGTTGCCATTCTAAGTGACTTTAGATCTTCTATACTCCGAGTGGTTTCTTGTACGGTCGAGTGATGGTGTACTGGTCGAATGGAATTAGGCTATCCGAGTGGAGTTTTTGGTTGAGTGGGTTGCACTCTGAGGTGATTCCAGTCGGTAGAAATTATTGTGCTTTGAATGATGTTGATCTTTGGGTAGTGTCCTTGGGAAGGGTGTCTAGGTCAGGCCCATTACCCTACCCTAGGTACATGTCATCGTCATTAGCCCCCGAATGGGTCGAGGTCTGAGGAAAGGAAGAGGTTGGAGGTAGTTCCGACTCAATTTTTATGCTCCAGAGGCATCTTGCTTGGGAAGGTGAACTATTTTTGAAACTTCAACCTTATTTTCAGTCGCCTTGATCCATTCAGAACCTGTCAAGTGAACTTATACTGGAACGCTTCGAGTGTTGGAGAGGAACGAAATCTTTGGCGTGATTGACTGCGCTGCCATCTCCGGATCTCACGGGATTCGGAATTTGGGGAAGCGCGCAGGACGGAGTGCGGCGCAGTAATTGGGATGGATTAGGCAAGGGCGCCTCGATTTTCGTGCCACCTTTTTCGCCACGTACCGAGCGTGCGTCTGTTGCGTGATTTGGCAGGATTTCTTGGGCCCGCGTGTCAGTCACTCAGAAATATGCAAATAAAAGACTCCGCCGCTGGTGAATCTGCACAACGTTCCCCATTCTCCTTCTCCTCCCTTTGTTTCCACATCTCGCACTCCGCAACTCTCGACACCACCGCACCACTTGTGTGAAGTCCACGGCGATGGGGAAGGACAAGACGGCGGCTCTGGAGCGCGCCGAGAAGGCGATGGTGGCGAAGCCGAAAGGGAAGAAGAGGAGTCGGGGAGGATCCTCCTCGAGGTCTGGCCTGCCGCCCGGCTAGATCCAGGGCGACTGGATCCGCTCCACGATCCAGCTGGAGTATGTGGAGGATCTGGCCTCGGGAGGTTTGATTTCTCATGAATCTTGAAGGCTTCCCGGCAACGAGACCGAGCCGCAGCCGCAGGAGGGTGAGTGCATCCTCCTTGTGACCCACGTCGACCGCGGATTCTCTCTGCCTCCTCATCCTTTTTCCGGGGCTTTCTGAACTTCTTCGCAGCCCAGCTTCATCACTTTTCCCCCAACACCGTCATGTATCTAGCTGTGTTTGTTTCCATGTGCGAAAATTTCTTGGGTCGTCGACCGCATTGGGGTCTCTTCAAACATATCTTCACATGTCGCTCTCAGTCGGTGAAAAAAGCTAATCCGAATGATGAGAAGACTCACGTGATGCAGATGTGTGGAGGCTTGGGTATCTAGATGAGGAGCAAAAGTGCCTTTCCAGCCGTAATCCTTCCCGAGTCAGTTAGAGGGTGGCAGTCGACCTGTTTCTACTGCAAGGACCAGCCGACTCCTGGTCGGTCGACCGGTCTCCCTCCCTTCTCCATGGAACGAGTCCAACAGGCCACTTCCTTGAAAGTAACCCCAGCAGAGAGAGCGGAGGTGAACATGCTGATGGAGCGAGTAGTCCAATTGGTCCGGGATGGCGTGACTGGTATGGACCTGCTGGAAGTGTTCCTCAGTCGACGCATCCAGCCGCTCCAGGCCCGCGATCATCCTATGTGGATGTATTCAGGCATTGAGGACACCACTCGGATCCACCCGGAGGACGTCACCGAGGAGACAGTGGAGCTGTGGTTGCAGGGCATCACCGGGAACAAAGATAACCCCCGGGGGTCCAGAAGAGTTCAACCATTATGCGCTGGTCATTAACCTGAAAAGGTCTGTCTTTTCTTGTCGAGTGCTTATCTGTTGAGTGCTTCATTGTCGAGTGCTTATCTGTCGAGTGCTTCTTCATTCTGATTTGTAACTGCTTTCGTGCCCGACTGACATCTATGTTAATCTTTGCCTTGTAGGTCTACATTGATGCATATTCAATGCCCAATGGAGAGCAGGACCAGGAGGGAGAGGTGAGTGGGGGCGAAAGCGGCGATTGGAGATCCGATGATGAGGACGAGGAGGAGAGTGAGGATTCAAGCGACGGTAAGGAGGTCGACTCTCCGCCTCATACTGAAAGACACTCCAAGCAGATCCATGACCCTGCGAGTATTCGCGGCAAGGCAGTTGCGCAGACCTCAAAGCGCACTCGGACTTCCTCTCCTGTCCCGACTGAGAAGGCGCCAAAGCAGCCCAAGATTACGGCTCCTAAGCCTCGGAAGACTCTGCCCAAGATCAAGATCGACGTTCATGTTGCCTCCGGGTAAGTGTTCTGTTTTCTCCTTTGATACAATGATTTCTTAAGCAGACATCGACTCGCTTTCTTGCTTGATCGAGTGAATTCGAGAACTTGCAGTGTTGCTACTTCTGGGACCTCAGTGGACATTTACAGGAATGAGGATGACGCAGAAATGGAAGATGTGGCCACCTCCAGAGCAGGTGTGACTCTGCTATCTTGCTTCCACTCTGTTAATTGCCTTGCAGGTCGACTGACAAATTGCGGTCTAAACTTTTGCAGCACCACAACATGTGATTGGACTTCCAAACAATGACCAAGAAGTGCCACTGAGGCCTATGGGAAGGAGAGGTAGGAGCTCAGGAAGGAAAGCGTCGATTGGCAAGACAACCCAAACGACATCAGTGCCCGAGCCAGTGGTCCGGCAGACTGGAGATCTCAGTCGGGCTTCCATCACTTTTGCTGATCCTGTGTCGACTGGACGCCCATCAGCGTCGACTGCCCAAGACCCTGCTTCATCTGTTCAATCTCATGCCTC